GAGTGAGATCCTGAGTTCAAACCCCAGTACAGGAAAAAAAAAAAAAAAGCAGCATGGTCCCATCTCAAGGTTTGCTGTGAATTTTAAGAAAGGAGAGCAAAGTTCTCCTTAAACAGTGTCACAGGACACATTTAGAGAATTATTATTTAGATCCTTATTATGTGGGTGGGGGTCTTCAGAGCCCAGGTGTCTGTTCTCTGCCAGACCCCAGGCTGCCCCCATGACTCTGAGCGTGTGGCTCACATCCACTAGGAGAGCCCAGGCCCTACAGGAATCCTCTACAGGTCACCCTAGCACACAGGCCAGCTATAAGCAAAGGACAAATCCTGCAGGGCACCTGTGGATCACCCTACAATCCTAGCTACTTGGGAGGCTGTGATCGAGAGGACCATGACTCGAGGCCAGCCGTGCAGTTAATTCACAAGACCTCATCTCCAAAATAATCAGAGCGAAATGGACTGGAAGTGTGGCTCAAGTAATGCAGCCTTGCCTGCTTTGCAATCTTGAAGCCCTGAGTTCAAACTTGAGTCCCACCAAATAAATATAAATAAATAAATAAATAAAGGACAAGTCCCCTGAGGCAAAGAACCTGAGCCCTTTGTCCTAACTGCTCTCAACTTTGTCCAGCACTCAGTCCTCTGGGTCCAGGCTTTTTTGCTTCTTCCTGTTTCCATTCTTGCCTTGACAGAATGAGCTTCCAGAAGGGAATTGTGACCTCCATGATCCCTTCTCCATGCTTGGGATCTTCCACCTTCCCCCTTGGCCACATTGGGGAGATGCTGCCTTTGGTTTGATAATCATGACAGCCACTATCAGGATCACCACCACCACCCTTGGTCTCCAAAAGCACACAAACAGCACCATCACCAGCAGCACTACCACCAGCCTCACTCCACAAGCGTCAGTGTGACTACCATGAGGACCACCACGATCATCACCCCCTCACTGTCACCACCACGATCTCCACTATCATCACCATCATAACTATCACTGCATCACTGACACCACCGCCAATACTACTAACGCAACTCTCTCCACCTCTGTGATCATCACCACTGCCACTGTCACCACCACCGCCACCATGATGATCTCCCCCATCATCACCACTGTTGTCACTGTTATAGTCATCTCACCACCACAATCTCCACCACCATCACCATCAAAACTATCACTGCCACTGTTCCCATCACTGCAACAATCACCATCATCACCACCACAATCTCATCACAACCATCTCTACCATCACCATCACCCCTACCACCATCACTACCATCACCCCCACCACAGCCAACACCAGAATCACCACTCCCACCACCATCTTCACCATCACCACCACCTCCACCATCACCACCACCACAGCCAACACCACCATCACCTCCACCGCAGCCAACACCACCATCACCACCACTGCAGCCATACAACCACCATCACCACCACTGCAGCCAACACCACCATCACCACCACTGCAGCCATACAACCACCATCACCACCACTGCAGCCAACACCACCATCACCACCACCACAGCCAACACCACCATCACCACCACTGCAGCCATACAACCACCACCATGACAACTAGCATCACCATTTCCACCATCATCACCCCTCATTCTTCCTTCTTCTCTTTCTCAGTCACCCCATCACCATCATCATCACCATTCATTCTTACATTGCCACCGCCAGATGACTCATTAAAGCTTTTTTCCCCCTGGAACCAATTGTCACAGGCCTGGTCTTGATGTCTGGTTTCCAAATGTAAGACCACTGCTGGTATCAGGCTTGGATATGGGGATGGGTTATATGGAGTGCTTGCTTTCTTGCCATTCCCTCTGAGGCCCCGATCTCCAGTCAGACCAAGGTCTTCCATGACTCCAAGGGCTGTATTTGCTTCTGTGTCCTTCCTGGGTCAGTTCCTTTGCCTGGGCTGTGTTTCCCTTGTGACCTCCATGGTATTATTCAACTCAGGAGCGAGCTCCTTGGGAAGTACTTCACCCCTCATCCCCAATCCAAGCTGTGAGGCCTTTTTCTGCTCCTGTGGCCTGTTCCCCTCACTTAGGACAGGAGCCTTGGCACCCTAGGGCTCGGCTGTCTTCCGACTTGACCTCTGCCCTGCTGGGTGCTGTGTTCCTTGAGGGTAGGACTGAGTCTTCCTTGTGTCCAGGGCATGGGACCTGGCTCAGAGGAGGAGTTCAAGAAATATCTGCTGAACTGAAATGTTGCAAATCATGAGTCAGGGAGCTTTTGGTGGGGAAGAAGAGGGGGAAATGCTCAGAGAGGGGCCAAGGAGAGAAAGAAGGCAAGGTAGATTGTGGCTGGGACTGGGGTGGGCACTGTATGGGACTTTCCTTGGTGGAGGGAGGTCTGATTCAGATACACTCTGTCAGCCAAAGCCTCTGGGGCCAGGGTGTTTGGGGAAAGTGGGGTCAGGGGTCAACTGCCCACCAGCCTGACCCTCCCCCTGGACCCCCTAACCTGGAAAAGTGGAGGAGGAGGCCAGCCAGCCTCCCTTGCAACCTCGTGCCCCATGGCCTCCGCTCGACCCCTTTAAGACAGGCCGAGCAGCTTCCCTTTGCTTGTTGAAACTGTTCAGTTTTCGGACAGGACAGGGGAGGGGGGCGGGGGGAGGTCACACCTGTTGTGGAACTTGAGAGAAGGCTTATTTATAAATGTTCAGGGCTTGGGATTCTTCAGAGCTGATGTCCGGAGGGGAAGGTCACCAAAATGCTTGTTTATAAAAGCAACAGCAACTGGGAGCACCATAAACGGGCTAAACGATGAAATTAACAAGCCGTCCAAGGCGGGGCACGGCAGGGCATGGCTGGGCCTCCGCTGGCCAGGGTGCCGCCGCTGGGCAGAGCCCCAGGCCTGCCTCCGAGCCAGGTCCCTCCCTGCCCCAGTCGTCCTGCCTGCCCCCCATGCCCCAGCTGGGCTCTGGTGCCACCCCCATCCCATGCCTGCCCTTACCCAGGAACACATGATTCACACAGTAGTTCCCCCAGGCACAGTCCTTGCTGTGTCCCCCTGGCACGGGCTGTTCCTTCATCACTGCCAAGGCAGCCATCCTGGGCCCCCACCCTCCCCGGCCCTCAAATGTACCAGGTTTGTGCTAGATCAGGAGTGTATTTTTATTTTAGCTCTTGGAGGCAAGACTCAGGTCTTCAGCCTGACCAGGGTGGACTTGGCGGCGGGGGGAGGGTGTCCCCTGGAAGTGGCAGAAGACAGACATTTCCACCATGTTCACCCCCTCCTGGGACTCTCTGTCCAATTCCAGGTTTCAGGAAAGCTGTGTTTTCCTTGGGTGACTGATGGCTGAACAGGTGGCTTCTGGGGTAGAGAGTGTCAAGTGAACAGCAGTGAGAAGTGGCCCTTTTACGGCTTACTTTCACTGCCTGCCTGGGCTTGGTTGCTGACAGCTCCCAGGCCTCCCCCGGTGAAGGCGAATGTCAGGCCGCCTGCCACCAGACACTGTCCCAGCCCTGCAGCGAGGAGGCTGAACACATTGAAGGGACATAGGGATAGATGAGGGGGAAACTGAGGCCTGCCCTCCCCCCACACTGACATGCATGACACACACTGCACACGTGATCACAGACACACAGCGACGATCACAGGAGGAGGCACTCGTTCTCTAAGATGCAGAATACCTGCTCCCATCTCCCAAGCTTCCACCTAACTCAACAATCATTGGCGGACACCTCTGCGAGCTCACAGACACACGGCCCCTTGCTCTCTGTCCCTCTCAGCTCTTCAGCACACACTCTGCTTCTTTTCTTCGGTATCTCTGTGTCACCTGTCTCTGAGAGACTGTCTTATAACTTCTCTCCCTCACTCCCTTTTTCTCTTTTTCTCCAGACCCTTTCCATCTTCTTTGCTCTCTCTCTCTCTCTCTCTCTCTCTCTGCTTTTTATGAGGCAGGGTCTCACTGTGAAGCCCACGCTGGTTTGGAGCTCCTATGTAGACCAAGCTGGTCTTAAACTCACCATCTTCCATCTTCCCGACTTAGCCTCTCTGTTGCTGGGATTACAGATATGTACCACTAGGCCTGGTTAAGTGCTGTTTTTTTCTTCTTTTTTTCCCTTTCTCTCTCTCTCTCTCTCTCTCTCTCTCTCTCTCTCTCTCTCTCTCTGTCCCTTTCCTTCCCTTTGGTTCTCTTCTCTCTCCGGCTCTGTCTCTGTCACAGAACACCCACCCACAGCACATGCCTCCACACACTGGACGGCCCGTCCTCAGTGTCAACATCGTCGTCAGATCTATTTTCTCCCTCAGCCATAGCACTCAACATTTCTGAGAGGAGCTCAGCTTCAGCCCAGCCCCCTAGCTGTGGGGCTGTGAGTAGAGCAGGCAGCTCTCTCTGGGGTGACTACTATCCCTCAAGCTCGTGGAGGGCTTGCACCCCCAACCCTTCCCAAGGACAAACTGGCCTGGCTCCAAGGCCTCCTGGCACGGGTCAAGACAGGCTACCAGCCTCTTGCCTGTCTTTGGCACCAGAGCCCATGAGGCCCTAGGTGGGAGATCTGGGTGACCTGGCACCAAGAGGACCAGGGTTGCCAGGAGACACTACCAAGGTTTCTCCACTGTCATCCTTGGCCCCTGTAACTCACCGCCCAGGAGGTTGTGGCAGTCTTGAAACCTGCTTTTGAATCATATGACTCTGGATCTGATGCTCCACTCAAAGGGAAGGGATGTCAGGTCCTGTGAGACTCTGAGAGGGACAACCGAGCTGCCCTGGGACAGTTGGCTCCAGGAGTAAGAGCAAGGGCTGCTGAGAGGTGAGGAGCCCCAGGCACCAGGGGAGGGAAATGGGGGTCACCAAGCCTAGAATGCATCCTCCCCAACTCACATACTGGGGGTGGGGGGCCTCTGGCTCCACCAGTCACCAGCCCTGAACTCCAGGGAGACAGGAAGGTCCACTCCAGTGACCCGATGAGAACCAGACCCTGGGCCGGGGTAGGTGGCCAGGTGTGTTGTTCCTCACGCCCAATCTAGAGGTAAGGGGGTCCTGGAGTCTATCACCTACTTGAACCCCGCTTGGCCCCTCACTCATTCAATCACTGGGTAAATATTTATGGAACACCTATTATGTGCCAGCCCCATTCCAGTTCCCTATAAACCCACAGTCTAGAGAGAGGGACAGCAACACAGAAAGACAAACTTTCTCACAATGGAATGTGCACAAAAGAGGAGGCAGGAGGAGCCTGCTGCAGTGAAGGTGGCTGAGGGCAGAAAGCCTCCCCAAGGAAGTGACGTGTCCTTTGAGACCCTCTCATCTGGAAGCAGCCAGGCTCCCACACCATCTCCTCCCAGACTGTGGCCAGATCACTGAGAAAGAACATTGTAGAAATTTCCACCATCACTTCACTTGTTGAAGACTGACCCGGCCTGAGCACCCTGAATCTCACTTCTACATATATGATCTCTACTAAAGACAGAGCAACCTCTCAGAGGCAGATACCAGTGAAATAAGTGTTTTAAAGACTACAGAACGGAGGCACAGAGAAGTTAAGTTGCTTAATATTGCACAGCTTGTGGAGGTAAGACCAAGATTTGTGTGTTACCCTCTCCCCTCACCCAATAATCATGCACCCAGATTCTCCTTCCCAGTCCCTGAAAAGAAGGGAGTAACCTGTCCTGGGAGTGGGGCAGGAGAAGGTGGAAAACAAGATCCGCTCCCATTAGAACATCTGTGCCCAACCAAGCCCCCTGGACTAGGACCCCAGACCCTCTCATCTTCCTCTTTCCTGGGGACCACAGACCACACAATCCCCAAATGTTCCACCAGGCTGTGACTCCAGTCCCAATCCCAGCCTGGTTCCTGCCCTCCAGGCACACTGGGTACCAAGGGAGGCCCCATTCCAGATCTGCTCCAAACCCGTCAGCACATGTGCGGTGCAATTACCCTTCAGCAACTCTGCCCGGGCTGTCGTGGAGGTCCCCATCCCCAGTGATTTGGGGGAAGGGGGGTTATTACAACTCTCAAAACCTTAAATTAAGAATGAATAAGAGGAGTGTCGCATGCCACTTTTGAAAAGCTGCCAGCCCAGGCTAGGTTGGTGATGGGGTGGTGACGGGTGTGTTGTACTCTGTGCCACCAATGCAGGAACAGAGGGATGTGAGGATGGGGAGAAGACAGAAGTGTCTGCTGGTACCTGTCCTGGCGCGGCCCTGCTGGGTGTGGGTAGGAAGACCATAAACATCCCCTTACAGAAGGCACAAGCAGGGAATGGAGGGGGAAGATGGTGTGACCAGGAGTCCCCCTGGGAAGTCAAAGCAGAGCCTGAGCATTGAAGAGGAGATGGCCGGGGAAGGAGTGAGACAGGAAATGGCCCAGCAGAGTGACCAGGATGTGCCAAGGTCCTGGGGTAGAGGATTATAGCATATGGCAGACCAAGAGCAGGAAATGGAGCTGGAGAAGAAAGAGGAGGGGGTGGCCCTGGGGAAGTTGTCGGGGGGGGCACTCCACCCCAAGGTGGCTCCGTGGCCAGCATGTGGGTCTGGGATGTGGTCCTAGGAGTGATGGAGGAGGTATATGCAACATGACTGTGCTTATGTTTTGTTTTCTTTCTAGGTGCTGGGGATGGAAGCCAAGGTCTCCCACATGCCAGGCAAGCACTGTTCCACCAAGCCACACTCTTATTAAGCAAGGTCTCTGTCACAGTACAGACAGCAGTGGGCAGGGGCCCCTGTGGGCTCCTGGAGGCCATGAGAGATAGATGGTGGCAGCTTAGCTAAGGGCATGGGAGCAATGAATAGACGGGACAAAGAAGATTTGGACTGATGGATCTGTCATAGTGATGGTAGGGGTAAAGAAAGTGGTGGTGGCAGGGATAAAAGTTAGATTTTGGGGCTACAACTTGAGGGATTTGGGGCTAACTTACGTAGATGGAGAGATGGAGAAAGGGGTACAGACTTGGGGATGGAAGGAAATAAAAGGTTCAGGTTTGAATATAAACGTCCTAACCTCCCAGAGCCGTGGCTTCCTTTCTCTGTAGAATGCTATGCTATGCCTGGTTTGCACAGAACTGAGGGACAGGGCTCTGAGGCTTGGATGTGCTGGTGCTCAGCTGCGTTAGGGACCTGTTCTTTGACCTCTGTGAGCATTAGTGTCCTGTGGTGCGTGAGGCTCAGAACACATGAAGTATATGCAAATGAGAGTATCTGAGTACCTGTGTGTGCACCTCAAAGATGTTCTGTGACCCTGAACAGGACTCTTAACCTCTCTGGGCCTCAGTTTCCCCAGCTTGGGTCTGGACTCACAAGCTGGCTCAAGAGCAGTCTTCTAGCACTGATGCCCTTGAGAAAGGGTGACGTCCCAGGACTCAGGCCCATGATCCGCCCCCAGGAAAGGGTCATCTCAGCCCAGGCTTAAAGGGATGTTCGGAAGGCTAGGTCTGGCCTGTCTACTCCCACTCAGCCAAGCAAGAAGGTGCTGCCAGATGACCAGCAGAGCCCTGATTTTCTCCTTCCCATCAGGGCTTGGGGTTAAAAGTGGAGGCCTGAGTCCTTCCTCCTTTCAAATCTACCCCCTCTTCTATATCTCAGGCTGGGTCCTATGCCTCCTGCAATTCTGCTGCAGGGCTCCAGGGGTCTTTTGAAGCCCTGGCCTCCTCCCTCCTTGCACACATCTCAGGCCTGCAACTCAGCAGGAGCTGGAGGAGCAGCAGCTCCAAGGTCAAAGGAGATGCAATCCTAGTCAGGGAAAGATGGACAAAGACACCCTGACACCCTCACAGGGACAGGGGCGGAGAGGGGTTCCTCCAAAGCACTGTGACCCTGGGCCACAGTGGAATGGGGTGGAAAGGAAAGAGCAGCCCCCTCCCCCAGCCAAGAGCCCTGGGCCTCTGCTCGTATATCTGTCCCTGGATAATGTATATCTAGCTTATGGAAAATATTCATAATGTCCTTACACCAAACTGGCCCCCTTCCATAGTGCGTGATCTAAAATTAAATCCATTTCAAATATACAGTAGATCGAGTCAAGCTAATATAAATGAAAACTGATTAACAGGCAGAATGCTGCTGTCCTCCCTAGCAGGCCTGAGGGGGCAGGGCTGGGTCTACCCTACTTATCTCTCCCTGCAGCCCCCAGACCTCCCAAGGACACCAAGCCCTGTCTTTGTCTAAATTCCCCTTTCTCTGAACCTGAAGTGTGGACCAGTCCTGGAGCTTGCCCAAACTGCAAGGGACAAGTGGAAGCTATCAGAGAAAAGCAACTAAGCCAGTGGACATCAGAGAGAGACAACAGAACTGGGACCTAGACGTCACTTCTCTGAGCCTCAGCTTTCTCAGTCTGTACTATGGGCTGTTAAACTCTGACGGGCAGGGTGATTGTGAGTGTTAGACAAGGCAAGAAAGCAAGTAAGGTACCTGCAAAGATAGGGAGCCTTGTTATGCTCCCTCAGAGACTGGCTCCCTCAGCCCCTCCCAAGCCCCTACTGGGGGCTGGGGATCTGTAACCCCCCACCAGCCCCCCGGATCAGCCGGCAGAACAAGGGCCAGCCAGGATTCCTGCCATTGCAGGGATATGCTTGGTAGGTTATTTTTAGAGCGTTGGCAAGTGACTCTGTTACTGACCAAATGTTCCCACATTGGGGACAGATTCTGCTAAGAGGGCACTTGTGGGCTGAATGTAAGATGGGAGGGGTGTTTGTGGCCAGTCTCCCGGGGCTTCGTGTGTGTCCTTTTTGCACACACATGTGAACACATGTTTCAGGCTGGGGATGTAGCTCAAGTGGTACAGCGCTTGTCTGCATGTGTGAGGCCTAAGTTCAAGGCCTAGTATCCACCCCCAAAAAGAAGCACAGATTCTGTGGCCACTGAGGGAGAATAGAAAAGCCTGGGTGGGTGGGGGAAGCACGTGCGCCTGTCTTTCTCCCTCTTCTAGCCTGACTTTGGAGTGCCTTGCAGTTAGGATACTCAGGGGCATGGAACAAGCAATAATGTCACCTCTGGAGAGCTGACCATGTTTCCACCTTCAGGAAAGACATTGGCTTCTGCCAGCTGAGTGTGCAAGCACACACATGCTTGTGTGCGTGGGCCTGTCTTCTCATTGCCCTTCTGTAAAGTCTTGCTCTAGGTAAGGGTGTCCCTTACCATTGCCTGGCCCTTCGGGCTAGGGTTTCTGACTTTCGATTGCATTGACCTTCCACAATCTGAAAGCCCACCTTTTGTGCAAGCCCATGAGTCACTGGGTGTCTGTCATCTGTCCATCCACTCACCCCTTCACTGTTTTGTTTTTTGTTTTTTCTTTCCAAGGGGCCGGAAGGAGAGCCCCATGGGGTGGGAGGGAGTGCAGTTGGTTTTTTCCTTGTCGTTGGCCATTTGCTGCCTGCTTCACCAGGCGTGTGGGGAGCATGTTTGCATAAAGTGGATGCAGACTGCAATTCCGTGATGAATTCTATGAATACAAATCTGCTACTACCCTTGACCTTGGGGTCACCGAAAGATCAAAACCAAACCATTTAATATTTTCCTTTTGCAGATCAATAGAAGCATAAATTCCCCCTCAATGACAAGTATAATTTCAACCAGATCTATAGGAGGCACACATGCATTTCAGCGGGGACGCTCGCTGCCTGCTTTCTCTTTTGGGGAGCAGACGAGGAGTTTCTTGCCTTTTCTCCCATTGAATTTCGTTTTGCCTTTTTTTATGGCTCTGAAATGCTATTTTCAGCAGCTGCTGTCATATAAATATCTCTTGTTTTTCTTCTCCTCTTTCCCTCCTGGTGAAAAGGGCAGGGGACCTATTGAAAATTCTGCTTTATCTCTTTCAGTCGGGTTCAAGTACAGGTCGAATAATCGATCCCTTCTCCTTTTCTTTTTTAAGTTTCCTGTCGTTCTTTTGACCAGATCAGCAGCGGAGAGAAATCAGGAGGGCAGCTCGCTTTCTGTAGATCTTCCCAGAGTGTCTCTCTTGCTGCATTTGTGTGCGTGTTTGCGTGTGCGCGTGTGTGATCCGCAGTTGTGTGTGTGTGTACCTTTGTGCACCTAACAATAAACACTCACTCCAGTTCAAACTCTTGCTCAGAACTGAGGAGGGAGAACATAGAACACTGCCAGAAAAAAGTTAAGGGCTGAGGTGGGCGCTGTTAACCCTTGCAGAGCTCCTGGGCAGAGCCAGTGTGGGGGGATGTCCTGTTGGGACCTGCGGTCCTTCCTCTGGGAACCACATTGCCCCTCCATGTACACCTCCCCAAAGCTTCTGAGTTATTTTTTTAAATACAATTCTGAGAAGGTAAAAAAGATGCAAAAAGAAAAGAGAAGGAAAAAAATTAAAAAACAGGAGGCAGAGGGGAGAAAGCAAAAGAAAACAGAAAGAGAATTAAATCATTAATCTGCCTACATTTTCCATTTCACAGAATAATCAGTTTGGAAGTGACTGAAATAAAGTGGAATGTATGCCTGTCACCGCTTCCTTCCCCCAGTCCACATTGCTTATTTACAGAAAAAACAGGAGTCAGGGAGACGCCCTCCCTGCCCCTCACAGAGGCCCCCAGTGTCCACTCCAGAAGGGGACAAGGACCCCAGCACTCCGCCTCAGCTTCCCGCTGCCTCGACCCCCATGTGGCATCCGCCCTGAGCTGGAGGTGCAAAGCCAAGATGATTTAATTTATAGAAAGGACAAGGATGTCGTGTAGCAGATTTAATCATCGGAGAGTTTAAAAAAAAATAAGGACCGGGCTAATGTCGTAATTTACATTTCAGGATAATAAAGAGAGAAAGACAGAAAAGGAAGGGCCCACAGCCTGCAAGAGGGAGTGAGGAGGGGAGGCCAGCCAGGGGGCCGTGGGAGCCCAATAGATTTGACTGGAACACCAATAAATTTAAAAACAAACCCAGAAAGCTAAAGACAGCCCCTGGAAAGTGCTGGGAAAATGGGCCATCGATTTGAGACTTCATCTGCATTTTGTATTTTAATAATGCTCTCTCTGTCTTTCCTTTTCTCTCTCTCCCTCTCTTCCTCTCTCCCTCTCTCCCTCTTTTGCAAAATATAAAAGCTGATCTGATAAATATTAATTTGAACCATCATAATGTATTTGAAAATTCCAGCTAAAATGTCACCACATGGAACATTAATGTAATATTTCAAGGCCTGAGAGCAATACTCATATTGATTGCATTTATTTCACTCTAGGGAGGAGAGATAATTCTTCAATGTGGGACACATCTGGGAGCCAAGGAGGCAGAGACTGAGGGGAGAAATGCGAAATTATATATGGTCATAAAAAATACAAAACAGAAAATTCTCCCCAAAACTCTCTCCTCTCCAGTGGCATTCAACACCCAAACTTGCCAATTTTCATTTACCAGCATGGCATGGGGAAGTGGTAGGTTGGGTATGAGTGTGCCTTTGGACCAGAGGTTTGCAGGATAGGAGCTGAGCCGCCTCTGCCCTTCTGAGGCTCTGCCTGAGGCTGTTTCTGCCTTCAGGGAGTGTCAGGGCCCAGCTGGGCAGACAGAAGAGACACTAGTCCAGCTGGGGCCTGGAGCTGCTGGGCGAAAGTTTGTGAATGCACAGTCTGTGGACTCTGGGGAGGGGGAAGAGGAAAAGGAAGAGAAGGGAAGGGAGGGGGAAGGAGAGGAGAGGAGATGGTGCAAAGAGAGAGAGAAAGGAAAGAAAGAAGAAAAAGAGGAAAGACACAAGATCTGAGATGGGGAGGAGAGAAAAGGAAAAAAGAAAGATCACAGGAGTGAAAAAGGAAAGACAGGGAAGAAAGAGGAGAGAGAGGGACAGAGAGAGGAGACAGAGGCAGAATCAGGGAGAGAGGAGAGGGGAGAGAGGGAGGGGGAGAGGCGGAGGCAGGGGTGGGGGCTAGGGCGTCTGGAGTCCCAGCTCCTCTCACTGTCATTAAGGATATTGATGTGCTCAGGCGTCAACGAGTCTTTGTACAAGTGAAAGGAAACCCGATGCTGGTGGTGACCCTGAGCCCACGCCCTCTGTGTCCCGCCTGCCCTGGAGCAGAGGGCTAGGAGGTGGACAGGCAGCAGAAGGCAGAACCTCCCATTGCAGGCCTGGCCAAGACACACAGATGTCACCACCCCAACCTCCCTAAGCCCGAGGTGTGCTGTGGCAGGAGTCGGGAGGGTTCACCTGGAACCCATCATTTCAACCCAAGTGCCCACAACTCCTTCCCTGGCTGCCTGGCTGCCATGGGCAGTACCAGCACCCGGAGAGGGCTGGGCAGGCACCATGGCCAGGACCCCATCTGCATCCAGCTCTTATCAACACCCTCCTCCTTGTTTCTTTGGGGGTGTGTGGGGGTGTGGGAAGCTGACTTTTACAGTTCGGGGGGGGGGAGATTAGGGGTGAGGCAAAGAGAGACTCTAGAGACCCAGGACTGGTCAAGGTCAGGTTCATCCCTGTCATTCGGGTCTGCACAAATGTCACTTTCTCACAGAAGCCCTCTGACCATCCCAGCAGCCCCCTGCAGAGTTTTCCTTTACCTGGAATTATCTCGATGATCTGTTTACACGTCTTCCTCCCCACTTGGAGATTAAGTTTTGAAAGGATAGGGACCATGACTATCTTGTTCAGCATCGTGTCCCTTACACTTCGCCTGCCCACGGCAGAGGCTCCCTACGTGTTGGCTGACTTGGTGGGAGGAAAGGAGGAAGGATGGACAGACGGATGAATGGATGGGGGGATGGATGGATGGATGGATGGATGAGCAGATGAATGGACGGACGGATGCTAAAGCTTCTGCCCTCATACTGCACCAGTCCCGCTGGGCCTGAGCCCCCTCCGGAGCGGCGTGACCCAGCATCGCCCCCACCCGGGACCGATCTTCGCCCCCACCCGCGCCCCCGCCGCCACCCAACGCTGCGCGCCCCCCGCCTCCCCGGAGCCGTCATTCGCGGAGCTGCCACAATATTGTGAAGGCTCCGCGCTCCCGCTCCTCCGCGCAGCCCGCAGCCCGCAGCCCGCACGGGGGAAGGCGAGAGAGGCGGGCGGGCGGGCGGCGGGCTCAGCGATGAATAATGCATGACCAAGGCGCCCCCTACCGGCGGCCGCGGGCAGCGCGGGACACGGGCCCCGCAGCGCCTGGACCCTGCCGGACCAGGACCTGGCCGGTCCTTCCCCTCCAGGGAGGAGCCTCCCGCCCCAGCACCCACCAAGCCTCCACACCTGGGGACCAGCCTCCCGCCCATCCCTCCCAAGACTGAGTCTGCAAAGGCTGCGGGTGGGAGTGGGATGCAGAAGCCCACGCATCTCCCCGCAGTGTCCCGTAACCAGGACCTGGGCTGGGCCGGTAGCACAGCCTTCAGGATTGACGGGCGTGGACAACACAGCCTCAGAGGGGACCCAAAACAGGACTCAATTTGCTTATATGGAGTGCAAACAATTTCACAAGTGTTTTCAAGTTTGGGTGAAATGTGTGTAACACTGTTTTTTAAGTTTTTTAAGTGAAAATAAAAGACAGTACAGGAAAGCCCACTATATATATATATATATATATATGGGAAGACCGGTCCTGCAGGTGTCTTCCCCAGGGCTCCCTTGTGGGAGGATGGATCTTTTTGGCTATCTCCACCTGCAGATTCCTCCAGCAGAGGACAGATGGGGGGTGATGTCAAATCAGGCTCTCACCAGCCCCAGCTTGTCCCCCAACATGTCTGTGATCCCTGGAGTTCACGGTGGCCATCACTTGTTTTCCAGACCTACAATGACCTCCTAACAGGCAGGTAAGGAGGAGGGGTCAGAGTCCCCCCCAGCTTTTGGCATTGCTTCAGCTCACAATCATGCAGGCCCCTGGGGAGCTGGATGGCCTCATGGCCACGACTCATTGAGAACACATTCTAATGAATGTCCCTGCTATCACCTGACCCACTGTCAAGCCTTAACAAGCCAGGCGGGAGGGGCAGCATCACAGAGACTGTAGACCTCAGGGGGCCGATGGGAAGCATATCCAGGTCATTTGTTGAGCCCTGCTGAATACTGGCTTGCAGTTAGGATCTTAGTCCTGACAACTCTTGTAAATTAGGACTGTGAGCCCTGGGTTCCAGATGAAGAAGCCAAGGCTTAGAGAGTACAGTCATGGACCCAAGATCACACAGCTCACATTCAAACCTCAACCTCTTCTGAGCGCAGGGCTGGGAAGTGCCAAGAGACCTGGAATGGGGGGAGGAATGCCATCCTTCCAGCTACGTGGTCCTAAATCCTGGAAACTGTCCCCTCCCCGCAGGTCAACCCTGTCTATCAGAGCAACACTTGGTCACTGAAAATGGGTGGCAAACCCAGTTGCTCTGGGAGCCAGCACAATTGTGTAAAGAGGGCCTTGTATAAGACATACATGACCCCCAATCCTTTCCAGAATAGTTTAGCCTCATTCAGGAAACAATGGGCCAAAGTGTTGACACTTGACAACCGCTGAACAACCTTGGTAC